ATTGATTCGGAAACTGAACAACATTGATCACTTTGTTATGATTGAGATAATATCGTCTTTCTATTTTATTTTCTTTTTGAATTTTGAAGAATTCATTAAATTTCTAGGATTTGTTTTTTGTTTCATGTGATTTTATAGAGCATGTCTCAGATTTCCAGCCCACATCAGCTTTTTTGATGTTTTCACACATATTTTGTTAGTTGAAACTAAAACTTGATGTAGTGGAGACTATCCTAATAAAATAAATAAATTCTTATAGTTCATATGACTATTAATCATTTGAAAAACAGAAAGTCATGCCCACTGGTGGAGGAAATGGTGACCATGGTGAAGGCTAATTTTCCTCTATTCGATATTTAGATCTCTTTTTCAGAGTTGCTACTCAATTCCACACTAGAGTGATGAATTAGAGGTTTATTCTGTTTGCCTCAAGCCACTTCTTGCTACATTTGTATATGAATCTCATCATCTAAGTTCTCGTATGCAAATAGCAGGATGTTATAATTTACTTAGAACTGTATGCTTATTTAATTGATTTTTTATGAAAAATATATTCTTGATTTCTGAATGCTTGTGATATTTGTCTATGAATTTGTATTGGACCTTTTCTTTTTATGCATATATAACCCTGGAAATCAGGGAGTAGAATGGAGATGGACTGTCATGGAGGGGATCCAACTACTGCTGCCTGCTTTTTTTTCTCTCTCTTTTTTTTTCTTGAGGCTATGATGATTTTGCCCATCTGGTTAATTCTCTGCATTGTGTTACTGTTGGTCATGGTTTAGGGTTTTTGATGCCTTGACATACCCATTTCTTTCTTATTATAGGGTTGTGATTTATATTTTTATGGCAATTCAATTGGATGGTCTGCTGCTCTGCGGTTGGCAACCGTTGCAGCCATATCCTTCATGTCACACCCATAGAGATGGGAGACATGCAGAGAATGATGTCAATAGGGAGCATATCTGAGCCTCGTCTATCTTATGTTTCCTCTTTTTACTCCATCTATGGATTATGTTTCCCTTTATACAGTGACTTCAGGAATTGCGAGAGAAGGATAATGGGGATTCAATCATGAGGTTGAGAGATTGGCTCTTGAAACCTCTTCTCTAACCCACTCTAACCCATTGCAGGTACTACTCCTGGATTCTTATTTTGTTCCTCCATTAAACTATTGATTTCTCTTTGGCCAGTTGATGTGAAAATTAGCACTTGTTTAGGGATAACTTTCTGATTGATTGCACCTCCTTAGATGATGTGGAGATTATGGTTTAAAAATGAGTTCTTGTTAGTGATCAGTATGCTGTTATTCCACCTGAAAATAAAAAAAGATTACCAAACGTTGGAGGAAGTGGCTTGCTATGGTGAAGAAACTTTGCTTATGTCTCTTCCTATGAGTTGCCATTCAAATATCACTGTTGAGAGATTTGGTAGTCTTACACAGTTCAGAAAGAATCGGAATTGACACGACTTACTATTTCAGCAAAAAAATAAAACTTTTTTCTATTATCTAATTCAAGCAAATGAAATAATGATGGGCTCTATCTATTGCCCTAGTTTTTTCAACTTTCCTACGTATAACATTCTGAGATATGCAAGATATGTGGGTATAAATGCTTTACTCTCCATCAGCTAATCATCGTGTCATGCACATACCCTATCTTTATTGCTCGAAGTCCTTATCCGCTTGTTCCTTATTCCTCAGGTACAACACCAAGTGTAGGCTTTGGCATCTCACAAAGCTAGGGTGTCGAGGAGGACGCCATAGGTGAGTATACTTGCATCTTGGGATGGTTTAGGATCTTGATATGCTTTTTTTAATTTAAATTTGGATCATTATTCACTCATTTCTTGACATCATAAATTGGAATGATGCTATCTCGATTAAGTCTTGGTTGATATTCTATTTTGAAGTTTCTTTATTTGAGAATGGAAAATATTATTAAGAAAACCTGAGAATAAAGATGTCATTGGCTATGTTAATTTCTCTTTTTACTGTTATTCTTTTGTTCTTAGGGAGCAAGGATTGGAAACTAAGATTGAAAAATGTCAGTGTATTATCCTTTATGGATGTCATGTTGAGTTTCATGTATATCTATTTCACCATGGGATTATATCCAACTTTCATGGGCTTTGTGATGTTTTTAGAATGATTTTATCACAGTCCTTGTGCCTAAGCCTCAAATCGTACGCCTATGATCACCAAAAGAGAAAGAACACTTGTGGCCTTCAATGGAATAATTATTTTCCATGTATGCTTGCGGTTTCATTTACTTTAATCAAAGTGATGGCGTTTAATGTACTCCAATGATCTTAGCAATTTTTCAGGAGTTGGTGACAGTGGATAATTTTTCCTTACATGTCATGATGACAGATAGGTGAACAAGGACTAGTAGATGCTAGTAAGGAACTGGTTGTTCCATAATACATAATTGGACGGTGTCCTTGTTCCACTAAAATCAATTAGGCAGGCCTTTTTCCATTCAACCAAAGGGCACGATCAAAGGGGCTCCTTGTTTTGACTTCAATAGTTGTACAAAGAATTCCAATGTATGTTCTTGATTAGGACCGCTTAACCGATAAAATTGTAGTTTTCAGAAATAATAAAATATACACATATTCTCTTGTTTTTTTTATTGTCAAATCAAGGAAAAATAGAAAGAGGGAGAGAAAAAGTAATTGCTTATAAAATTGAAATGACTCCAAATGAGGCAATCTTTAGTAACTTCTCTAAATCATCTTTGATAGGTAACACTAGGAATAATGACAACTGAAGAAGTAATTGCTTGATGTTTTTAATAATGTCATAGTTTCCCATAAGCAAATGCATTTAGAGATGTCTGTTTTTGGCATGTCAAGCAAGGAAGCTAGGTTGAAGGTTAGCATACAATCAACCTTCTAAGCGGGAATAAGAGTGAAAGAGCTCCAAAGAAGTTCTGTAAGATTTATATTTATGGATTATTTTGCATATATAATAAATAAAATGTCCATCTGCTTGCACTTTGGAAGGTGGGGAAAACACATCATGAGAGAAATGGTGCTTCCTGTTTTATTCTCTAGTGCATGAGCCCTTAAATTTCGGGGAACAATCAAGTGTTCTTGCCTTGACCTAAAGGGCCAAGGGAATTGGATTTAGACAGGGTAATGCACAAAACCAGCAGATTTGTAACATACCATAAAGGAGATGTTCCCTCAAATAATCAGGCTATGTTGGTAGTCAAATAGGTGATTTGTAGTAATATATTTATGTGGAAGATTCCACAACCATCAGTACAATGAAATGCTGTGATGATGGTCCAATGCACGGGGCCCTTATCAATATAAAATCTGAGAGAGAGATTCTTGTCAATATAAAATCTGAGAGAGAGCTTGTAGCTTTATCACTGCAGACAAAGATACCGTTTTCATGACTCAAACCTGATTACCCATCTCGAAATAGAGGAACCTAATTATAGTGCCAAAGGCCAATGTCAATACGTTGATCTGCGTAAGAGAATTTCATGATAGAAGAGCGAGCAGAATGAAGTTGATCAACAAATTTTCTCAGTGGTCTGAAACATAATACTAATCCAACTAGAGCAAGCTCTTCATAATTGGTTTCACTGCATGAAATGCTTTCCTTTTTGAGTTGGTGATTAAAATCTCATGATAGTAAATGTGATGAATGCACTATCAATATGAGTACTTGCAGTAGATTGTGTAAGAAACAATTGATAGCTTGAGCTCTATTGGTTGTTTATACATTCTCAAATTAGCATACCGACTACCATTGAATAGAGTCTAATAGTATGAATGTTCATGCACAGCAGCACATGGCACATGGCACATGGCTATTATTTTCTAATTCCTTCTAACCACCATAAGGCTCTCAGACCTGTTCAGTAGTCAAGCATGTCATTTTCTGCTTGGTCGACAGCCTTCTATGACATGTATTTTTTCTGTACATCTCAACTGATCTAGCAGCATTTTGGATCATAGTAATATTCCTGCATGCTTGATGATGAAAGAATGAAGGATGCAGTATGATAGATTACTGGGAACCATTTAAGTTGGGAAGTCCTTGGCAGAAAAGTGGTAGGTAAAACTTAGACACCACAGTCAAGAAAAAGCAGAACTAAAGTTAATCATAAGCTTTCAGTCTTCTAATATGACATGTTAAAGTTGAAGTGACATGTTAACTGCAGACTGCTGAATTGTTCTCTGCATATAGATTCATCTGACACAGTCTTAGCTCCACTGATGAGGCAATTTATAATGAATGTGGACAATATTTATAACATGAGCGACTAGCTTAGCCAAATATTCAATTTTCAGGGATCAATTGGAATGAAATAAAACCTCAAAGTGGTTACCTTTACCGATCATCTTTTCCCTGTAACATAAAGTTTGATATGTTCGATTTACCTAATAGATAGCCATCTTCTCCATTAAGATGACATTGGCATTTGATATACAAATTAATTGGTAGTTTAAAGCATCAAACTTCCATATCTCAAACAACTTGGTGGAAATGATATACAAATTAATTGGTAATTTAAAGCATCAAACTTCCATATCTCAAACAACTTAGTGGAAATGATATACAAATTAATTGGTAATTTAAAGCATCAAACTTCCATATCTCAAACAACTTGGAAGACTTATTTTGTGTTTACTAACTCATGAGTTCCTGTTAATTGTCACTCGCAGAAGCAATGAGCTTAGTAAATATTGAATGACTGAATTATAGATCCTTTTTATCAGTATGCCTATGATAACACATTTGATCCAAGAATCCTGGTTGGTGATTACTAAATGTCACACCAGCAGATGCCATCTAAAGAATTTAAACTAGGTTTAAAACTCCAAAGTTGAATTTATCTCATATATAAAAGAGACATTGTTGGATGACTCTATGTAATTGGAACATGTTCAATTGCTAACTTTAGAATTATACTCCTTGATTTGCATCTCAACGATGTGAAGTTGTAGTTTCCTGAAAATTTTCTGTAAAAATCATGTCCAAATAACTTTCACCTGTACAGGCACCAGTTTATTTCTGAGTGCAAAAAAACCTGCATTGGTTTTTACAATACAACTGAAGGGAAAAAGGACTATTCCTCTTTAAGTTATTCCCTCTGAACTCTACCACCTGAATTAAGTTGAAATTGGAAATCTTTCTGCAGGTAATTAGAGTTGCTTGAAATGGGAGAACAAGAGAATGCCAGAGCAGAAATTGCGGTTGCAAGCAGGTTTGCTACCTTCAAAAGGTTGTCATTCCAACTTTCTAATCAGTGAGCAGAAGATTTCTGGTTTGCACCTGGTAATGGCTCTACAACTCTCAGCATTCCACCAAGCTCTACTGGCACCAGAGGAATGAGGGAATGAAGCACATCGGTGATCAATGGTCTGTAACTAGGTTCCTGCTGGATGCAAAGTACCGCAACAGCAGCAACCTGTTCCATGTCACCATTTGTTAGAGGAAACAAAAATATGCTCATGTGCAGTAGGAATCAGGTTGGAGAACATACTTGATATAGGTGTTTCAGGTTCATCGTGTTCCTGATAACTGGATCTACTATACTTGGAAGCTTTGATCTATCAGTGAGCTGGGGCATTGCCTGAAGACAAACAACTGCAAACATTGAGCACCGGTTTGGAGCAGATGCAAGATCTTTTGATATTTCTGCCACATTCATGGATCTAAAGATCATACCCAAGCGACAATCGATTGGCACTGAGATGGTGCCATTTTCTCGACTGGTTTTCTTCCCAGCAGAAGCTCCAGCAGTACAATTCCAAATGCATAGACATCACTCTTCTCAGTGAGCTTACCTGAAAGAATTCAGCATTATTTCTGTCTTATGTCTAGTATTTAGTTCTTTTTTCTTCATCTAAGAACTAGTAAGATCAGTTGCTTGTTTCAACAACGAATTAATACCTTTTTATGAGAGAAAAAAATATACAGAGACCGAACAAGAGGAGGAATTGAGTACCATCTAAAAGGTACTCTGGAGCTACATATCCAAGAGTGCCGGAAACCTTCAAACCACCTTTGCTATGGTTTCTGCCAATCACTGCAAGTCCGAAGTCTGAAATCTGCAATCAGAAGGTATTCATTGCTAAAACACATCCTATGCCGCAAATATGAGCAGAGCAAGACTCGAGATGAACTCGGTAAGAAGCATCTATAGAAACGTATTTACCTTGGCATTAAAGTCGGAATCTAGTAGTATATTGGATGATTTTAAATCTCTGTGGATCACTGGTGGGTTGCAGTGCTCATGAAGGTACTCCAATCCTCTGCTTGGCAAATTGCATCGTGATTAGTCCATCGAAAAGATAGCTACTTAGAAGTGGGAGGTGGCATCGTCATGTCAAGAACCAAACCTTGCTATATCAAGCGCAATCTTCATGCGAGTATGCCAGGGTAAGGCTGACCCATGGGATGGCCCTGGAGATGTGAAACAAACAAGACGATGAAGTGTAAGCTTTCTGTGCTTTGGTATCATTCTGATAGGAATACGGGTAGAGAATAAGTGCACCGTGGAGTTGCGTTTCCAAGGATCCATTTTGCATCAACTCGTAAACAAGCATTCGGGTTTCTCCATGAACACAGTATCCCAGAAGAGAGACTATGTTGGGATGTCGAATCCTTCCAAGCAGTTCGATCTCATTCTGATGAGCAGAAAAGAGAAGCATTTGGTCAAAGTGGAGAGACAGGAATAAAGCTGGATTATGTATGATCTTAACATTTCTGACCTCGAATTCTCTCTCGCAATCCTGCCCGCCGCCGTCTAGTTTCTTCACCGCAGCAAAAGCTTCCCCGTTGAGGCTGGCTTTGTACACATGGCTGAATCCTCCTTCTCCCAGGATGTTACCCTCGCTGAACTTGTTGGTGGCTGACTCTAACAAAGCATAGTCGATGATTGGCAGCAACCCTTTCTTGCTTGTCGTCCTTAAGGAGTTCAGCTTGCTCAAGATCGGGCCGAATGGGAGTCCGCCGGCAGCAGTATCTGTTTGGCGTCAAATGATCAGAGTATAAGAGAACAATCGCTGCAATTTTGGCGTCGCCGATGATTTCAGAAAGCGGACCTGATCTTTCAATGTCTTTGGAATCGAGCATTTGGCGGCTCCTCCTCCAAACGATCCAAGCACAGAGTGCAGATGATATGAGTGCGAGAACCGCGACGGAGGCCAGAACGACTGCCACAGTCAACTCTTTGAGGTAATGGCGATGGTGTGCCTCTTCCATGGTCTGCATCTCTGCTTTTCAAAAATTAGATTGTAAGCTTACGTGCTTTATCTAAAAGAAATACTAAAAAAGATTGATCTCTTTAGGAAAAGAAAAGGCAAAGCTCTCAAATAGATGAGGAAGAGCAATCAAACATCTGAGAATAGCATCAAAAAGCCACGATCTTGACTCGCGATGATCTAAATCCAGGGGATCATGGGGAAAAAGGAGCGATTTTTCGCAGAGTAACAGAAGTTGAAGCATCAAAAAGGCCAGGAACGGGAGTACCTGCAGGAGATGGCGCCAGAGACAACGGAGATAGAGGAAATAGCTGGTTCTGAAACGAGGAGAAGGGGGAAGGCACGGGAGAAAGCGCTGGAGACCCGTCGACATCGGCGTCGGCGAGAGACATGAGCAGACAGAAGGTAAGGGCCCATACTGAAGAGAGAGGGAGAGGTGTTGGTGGCCTCCCCATGCCTCTTCCCCCGCGAGAAAGAAGGCAGCAAGCAGCCTTCAGCGAGATCTCCAGTGGCAGTGGGAGAGACAAGAAGGAGCAGAATGGTGGGAGATCCAAATCACGAAGCCAAGGTGAGCAAGCCAGTTTGAATCTCTCTCTCTCTCTCTCTCTCTCTCTCTCTCTCTTTGAAAAATTGGATCTTTTCATTGACAATATTTGATTCTCTCTCTCTTTTTGTTAAAGTGGGTAGGACAGGGACACTTGCACGGAGAACAGGAGAACATCACTTTTATAAACATGTGGGGGTGGATAGAAAAACTCAAATAATGCAGCAGTTACCAGGCAAGACGAAGAGAAAACTTTCAAAGTTTTTTTCCAAAAGAGAAAAAAAAAAAGGCATTCGAAGATTTGGGATGGTTGAGGGAGCTGTTAATTACAGGGTAACATCCTTGACACCCAACCCATACGGATAAAAGCAATGATACCATGTCATTCATATCATTAGATCGATCTAATATTAAACATTGAACATTTGATTTTTTTTCCTTTTCCAGTTGGACCATTCATAGCTGTTCTTGAAATAGAGTTTCTTTCTGTTCACACTTTTCATCTCTTTCCATTCAAAGGTTACACTGCATGCGTACTCGACAGGGTTTAGGTGCGAGTTTGGGTCGTGTATTCACACTTTTTCATTTCAATACTCTGCCTATTTTTCAATAAAAAGATAAACTTCATAATGTCCATTGCACTATAATGATCAAATACTCAATGAGCAATAAGAGTGAAATGTTTGCTTTCAGTTGGTGCAGTTTTCTTTTTAACGGAGATTTCCATTTGATAAAACTATTTTGTCATACATTAGTTGAGGAGTATGGGAAGCAATGGCTCATAAATCCGTCAGATCTTTCTTACTCTCAGAGACGTCTTTTGGAGCTTATAAGCTTCGAAAGGATAAAATCGTATGGGTACATCCATCGTTTGAAGCGGATAATTTCTCGCGAGCCTATGGACTACATCAATGATCGACCGACCAAATAATCCTTGGGATCCTCGCCTACTCATAGAAAACAGGGGAAATAAAAAGAATGACTTCAATTGATCAAATGTGAGGATGGGATAAATGAACTTTTTATTCCTATTATGAACCCTGTATGAACTGATCAGGTGTGAATTTTGCTATTCTGCTATCTCAATTGGCAATGAGCCAATTGGCAATAGCTATCTCAATTTTGCTATTCTGCTATTCTTAACCTTGTTCGAATTGGAATTATTCCTTCACCAACATAGATTACTTGCCTTAACATAGCTACATCTGAGTTAATTCTTATAGACCGGCAAAAGAGCATGGGCCCCACTTGGTGTTGGGTTCATGGATTCCTTTTAGAAATACAAATTTTAGCATGGGCTTGATAGATGTAGAGGTTGGCATATGTATTACATTTGCATTCCAATGAACTTTTTTTTTTTCTGTTAGTTTTTTTTCTTCTGAAATTAAAAACTAGCATGTACAGCATGGAAAACAATTCTCTATTAACCTTAAATCTGAGACTAAATGGTGATTGAGATGTGAGAATCAAGTTGCTCTAGGTTCTTCGTGCAGGTTTTTAAGCTGACATATATCTTTTTCATCAAGACTTTCCTAATATGGTTGGTAATGAGCCACTGTTTTCTTTGTTTAAACAGAATCCTTGTTCAATCACATGTCTTGAATGGATGGATACGAGGATCGAAAGGGATTAAGGATTAACATGCCAAGGAGAAATGGTCTGAGAGGGACCTAACTCTTCAGGTACTTCGATTTAATTATCAAATTAGTATAGATTGTTTGCATTTGCATAGCTACATTGAGTTGCTTTCAGTGACTAGTAAAACTGCATTTGCACTGCTCATGGTTCATTTATTCTTTTCTGATGCAGAGATTATACATGCATGTCATTGTCATTTTGTTCTTCCCGAACAAAGTCATTTTTTACTTGATGATTAATTAGCCTTTTATTTCATGAAAATGAAATTTTAGTCTGCCATATCTTTCTGTTGCTGGTTTGAGCATTAACGAATATTTTCATTCTGTAAAGAAAAAATATATTGAACTTGATTACATGCAACTAAAAGAGCAATTACTCATCTACATCCTCATATATAATGCTGTTGTAAATAATCTACCAAAACCATGTGGCAACAGTAGGGCTGCCTTCATCATTCATTGTACTCTGCATTCAATCAACTAGTGTTACTCTCTGAGCCATAACAACAGACAAGATGTCATAAAAAACATTGCATCATTGTGATCTGTACAGTATCTGTCATTTTAGCAGACTATAAATGAAGAACATCATCTAACAAGAGCACATGAACTCATGAAACATTTATCTTCTTTTCTTTTTCTCCAATGATATCATTTTGTAGCTATTTTTTTAATCTTTTGATAGTTATAAAATATTAGTCTATTTCATTCCCTCTTGGCATTTTAACTGCCTATCTATTTTGAATTTATAATAGATATAATACAAGTAGTTTGACCAAAATAGACAGATGATTGAAATGAAGACTATAGATGGCACGATTCCCTAAATTGAGCTCATACATTATGCATCTCTATAGATTAAATATTAGTGTGATCAAATTGGATCTAATTAGTTCAATTGTAAGAGATGGTGGCATGTCATATTTGACTCCTAAAACAGAACCCTTAGCTTATATCAATGGCATGGGATTGTGGAGTACGTTTAGATAGTCATAGTCAATCCTTAAGTGCACAAAGTCAAGACCAACAGTCCACTATGCCTTGAGCTAAAGAAAGAGTATATCAAGTAATTGATGATGATGATGATGATGATGATGTGGTCCAAAAATCCACAGCGTGCCGTAGGGTGCAGTGGTTGGAATCTCAGCCTAGGAAAATGAATTCCACCACCCACCGCCATCTTGTTGACGGGCCACATTTCCTGATTGCCTCTTGCCCTAATTCATTATTTGTTATTGCTATCATGGATTCCACAAGAGAAATCATCTCATCTTCCATCGTTCCACGATAAAATAGAGTGCTGTTAGAGTTCTTATGACATCGGATCAGATTATAATCATCTATGTCAATTTCAAGATCGGATGAAAAAGATAGAAGGTTGAGTCCACAATCGATCCCAAATAGTTAAGATTTTTTTATTTTATTATTATTATATTAGATCATATTAACTTCTTTGATAAATAGTAAATCAAAATATTATGGATTCATCTTTGATCCTCTTTTTTCTTAAGATATTTAACTACATAAAAAATAAAAAAAATTGAAGGAAATAAAAAACCATGTGATTGTTATTCCTCTACCCATAATCATGATGAGATGAGGAGAAAAAGATTTGATGGACCCAATTTAAAAGTATAAGTTAGTTTAATTGGTAAAATTTTTGACTTTTTATCATAAAGAGTATGAGCTCAAATTTCATCAGAATCATTTATCTTTAAAAATTTGAAATTATTTAAGACTGTTGAAATTATTTAAGTTTGAATATATTTTTAATGGATTTATGAGGAACAATTAATGTAACAGTGTTTTGTACATCATTTAATATAATAGTTAAAAAAAATTATTAGAAAAACATATTCCGGTTCAAAATCTGGAACAATAATTACAATTGATTGACACTAAATGACCAATCTCCACAAGGGAACAAAAACAAAGTGGGAGAACAGTTGCCTATCGAGTACGAGAACGGGTGAGTGCGCCCGACGCCCCCCCAACCACATTCCCTGATTGTATGAAAGAGAAGCTAATCAAGAAAGAAATTGACCTGATCGTACTTAAATTTGTATCAGATTTGGCACAAAAAATTGGCCCAACCTCCCCTCGATCTCCAAACAGAGTCCATGAATGGGCTGTGCCCACTTAACGTGTCGGAGGTTTGGGTTAGAATGATGGGTAAACAAACCTGGAGCCCTTTAAGCTTCAATTGGTTTGGGGTTTAGAGTTAATAAGATTAAATCAACTCCGCTGGAAGAGTTTAATTTGGATAAACATGATTAACAAAAATAGGACTTGAAATTACTTGGTAATTAAGATAATTCTACTTCCCTATTATTACCTCAAGAGCATGTCCGCGACAAGGACATTTCACAAAGACCGGACCGGACCGGACCGGACCGGGCCGGAATTAGCGGGTTTGATCGAGGTACGACTCATGAAAGACCGTACCGGCCTGACAATAGATTGACCCGCTCGGCGGTTTAGATGGGCGGCCTCCGCCGCACTCGTTATCTCATCGACCACGTGGCCGGGAAATAGCAACTCCATGGCTTCGTCAGCCTCCGTCGCCGCCGCCTCGCCGCCTCACCTCCGTCGCCGCCTCTGCCCCCTCGTCCCCCAAGCCCACCTCTCCCGGAGCCCTAAACCCAATGCATTCCTCCGCCGCCGCTCCTTCCTCCTCTCCTCCTCCTCCTCCGCCGCCGCCGCCGCCGCTGCCGCTGCATCCCTCCTCCTCTTCCCCCAACCCGGCGCCGCCGACACCGACGCCCCTGCCCTCGCACCGGCCCCTTCCCCCGCCCAGCCGCAGTCCGGCATCGTCACCGACCGCGTCTTCATGGACTTCGGCCTCTGCCCGAGCTACCTCGCCTCTGATCGCCCTCTCGGCTTCGACCTCGCCGCCTGCCCCGACTCGGAGCCCCTCGGCCGCGTTGTCTTCGGCCTCTACGGGAAGCTCCTCCCACAGACTGTCGCCAACTTCAAGGCCGTCTGCGCCGCCGTCGCGTACCGGGGGACCTTCGTCCACAAGATTCTCCAGGGTCAATTCTTCGTCGCCGGCCGCCAGGGGCGGAAGGAGAAGGGGGGGGTTCGGCCGCCACCGGGACTGGTGCGGAACGTGGAGACCGTCGATCCCAAGGCGTTTCAGCTGAGGCACTCGAGGCCGGGAACTCTGTCTCTGTGCTTGTCGGAGAACGACGACGACGACGCCGTCAAACTTGAACCCGACTACCACAATGTCGAGTTCTTGGTGACGACCGGGCCTGGACCATGCCCGCAGCTCGACAACGAGAACATTGTCTTTGGCACTGTGCTTGAAGGTAAGTTGTTCGATCAATGTTTCCTAAGAAAAAAACTCAACTTTAATATCTTTTGAAGAGCTCCTGAGATTATTACTGAATCAAAATTGTTGTCTCTTCCTCTCTCTTTCACCCACAAACTCTTTTAAATCCTTTATCCATTCTGAAATTAAGATAGAGTGGTACATTATAGTGAGATGCATCTGCATGACAAATTCTGTGCTTGTTGCCATGCAAGAGCAAGTCCTCAGTATGTTGAAGCTAATCAAACTACTTAGCGTTGAGTGGATGAAGCTGAGTGCTATACTGCATTGAGAAGTATCTTTATGAAATTCGTAGTTGTACTTTGATGGTATTCATGTCAGTGGAGATGGTTATTTAAGTTTTATGAATCAAATTGCTATCTCTGAATTTAAGGCATATTGATGACGCTTACTGTGATACTTGGCAGCTATAATGGCAAATTTGGTATATAAATTAATTTTAACTTGACTGGCAGATTTGGATGGAGTTGAATGCTTTACTCTATTGAGAAGTATCTTGATAAGAGTTCCTTAATGTTCTCTGTACATGGATAGTACTCACGTCAGGAAAGATGGTTATTAGAGTTCTATGAATCAAATTGCTGTCTGTGAATTTAAGACATATTGATGACTGGCACAAACAATTGCAACATATAATGTGATTCTTCGGGAGGAAAGAGAATTTGATGTCAATATTGCAGATAACAAAATTATTTTGATTCTACTAAACCTTACTGTCATGTAGGAGTAGAATTTGAATTCAACAAACCTTACTGCCAATTCACTTTTTTTCTTATGAAATTTCATAATGAATATTTATCTTTAGATACATCAAGGGACATATAGCTATTGGCTTTATTTGCTTAGTTAAAAATAGTATCAAGATGATATATATAGTCTCCTTATGAGGTCAAGAAATTTTGTTACCATAATCATTTAGCACAGTTTTTGTTTGCAGATATACACAGTGGCTATTTCGAGGTTTCTTGGTAGTGATTTCTGTCTAATGTCTCTTGTAGCCTGACACTGAAAGCAGTCAGTCCAAAATAGACTCGGTGGGCTCAATTAGTTTGATTTTGCTTTTCAAGTTGCTGAAACCCATAATATGCTCTTGGCAACATGATAGAAACAGCTCAAAACTTGAAAACATTTGCCTACATGGATCTTAGTTTTTTATAATGCATGACTTTGAGGGCTTTATGCTATGATCCGCTAGGATCAAATGATCAACGGAGAAAGAGATAGATTTACACACTGCAGCAATTAAAACAAACATTTTTGACTGATGCTACAGAACAGATCTTCACCTTACAGAAGAATATATTTTGATGCTTGTATGTTCAGAGAGAGGTAAACCAGATTGCAGCTTGCACTTGAAATTCTTACACAATGTGTCCTTATTTTTTTCAACTGGAAATATATAAGTTTCAGTTCCTCATTCATGTGTTCGTTAGTCCATCTTTGATCATTATCATATATTTTTTGTCAACTCGTGCTCAGAATGACTCTAACTGAAAGTGCTTCTTTCTTTTCAAACTTGGAGCTGACCCTATGATATTTGCATGGAAGTCCTCTATTCTTCTATTGCAACATTGTGCTGCTGCCTTATTGTTCTCGGGAGTGTCAAATAGAAGTTGACTACTCATTTTGTTGTAGAACTTCCTCAAACAAGTTGATGGAATTAGTGAATTGTCAACATCTATTTAGATTAAAACTTGAATCTATGTTTAATTTTCTGATATTGTTGGATAAGCAGCAGAAATTATCACTCATGTTTCATATACTTCTTTTTTCAGGGATGGATGTCATCACCAACATAGCTACGATCCCCACGTATAAGCCAGCTGAAAGGATTCGCCAATTCAATGATTTTGCACAGTTCATCGGTGATGAGCGAGCTCAGATAGCTCGCACAATGTGGAATCGGCCGCTAAAAACAGTGTACATCAGTGACTGCGGAGAGCTGAAAGTGGCAACACCTTCACTTTCTCCCAGCTTACCTTAGAAAACTACTCTTATAGAGGGACTTGAACTTGTGCCATGAAATATACTTCCGTATTTTTCTTTAGAAAACAATATATCGAATCTTACATAGGAGTCATTTAGTGGACACAGATTTGTCTGCCATCCGAGATGGATCAGAAGAAATTATAGAATGTATTATTTGTTGATATACCAAATCGATTTTTCTTTCTTTTCTTTACAGTAAAACTAGCCATTTATCTCGACCTTGGTGATTCTCCATGTAAATTCCATCTCAGTTGATCTGCTCGACTCTCTGATTTGTCCACTGTCCTTAAAGTACTTTTCCTCTATAGTTTTCTTGATTTGGAGTGGCAGTGAAATCTTTCATGGTTGCAATAGAACCAATGGATGCTGACTTGTGTGTTCAACTCTTGTGATCCTCAAACATGTTGATGCCTGATGTTGTATCCATCACATTTTACTCAAATCCTATTTATTGATTTGTCTTTCATAAACCTAAATTCGAGGCTAATCTGATTGTGCAGAAATGTTGTCTCCACTCACACACGCACATCACCAACCCTTGATGATTATACATGGACGGTCCTTGATTGGTTGCGGTCGCACTGCATCTGATAACCGTTCGATCCGATCCGACGGCTGCTCTTTAATTTAAGGCACGTACTGGGCGAGATCCAGACCGTCGACTCGCATCAATTTATTCGCCTCGTGCCCTCGATCTCACTTCCTCCGTCTCTTATCGCATTCGCACGAGCAGAACACCTCGTCGGACTCGTTACCCTCCCCGAGAGGGGAAGGGAGAAGCAGATCCTCTTCGCCGTCGGTTCAGGTGAGAATAAGCCCTCCGTCTCCTCGCGGGATTGCCGTCTCGAATTGGTTCGAGGGCGTTTGGTGGTCTCTTAGCTTGGTTTATCCTTTTTTCGCCTTTCGTGCGCGAGAAGCAAGAATCCTTCTTCTCGGGTCAATGTTTGAATCGTCTTAGTCGTGTTGGTGAGCGATTTTAACTGGGTTCCGTGTTTTGGACACGATTCGTTTGTAGTTTGCTAAGGTCTTGTTATATTCGATCAATTTCTTGTTTGGTCGGAGAGGTAGAGGTATCTTTTGAAGGAAATTCATTAAAGATTTGTTTTTGGGGCAATTGAGACGGGGAATCTATTGGAATGGAGTGACTGGAGAGGCGGATGCATATGGGTTAGTCCGTGGCTAGGTTAAGAATCCAGGCTGCTAAAAATTTTACTATCAGGGAATTGATTGAAAGTCTAGATTTCTTTCCAAGCAGCTGGTTTGGTTTTAAATTCTAGATTTTACCAGGGTCTCCTGGTACATGGTATAAATTGACCTATTAGATGAGAAAGGCTTTGCACCCTGGGAATTTCATGGTCTGTTGTTTCATGACTAGATACAGAAACTACTTAAAGCTGGAACATTTAATGTTCGTAGATTATATAACAGTTGCCTGAGGGCATTGGTGGAGCTTGACAGGTACAAACTTTGTAGGGCATCTAAAATAACTCTTCTTTTTACTTGGGAAGGCAAAATGAGTAGATTATGAAACAAATAATAGGGTTGTGATCTTGTTATCTTTGTTACTTTTGTTCTCTTAGTGATACCAAAAAGTTGATAATCCTATCTGCCATTGCAGAGAGAAAAATAGAAGGCTGACCCTGTCTTCTCCTCACTACATCAGTCCTATGACAACTGTACCATGTAGAGGTACTTCAGTACCTCAGCTGGGAACCCAACCACAAGCAATATGTAGAAATGTATCTTCAGGAGCTAAGGGCTGTCATTTTACGAACAGGGTGCTGATGCCTCAAACCGGGTAAGCTTTGGTGTTTCATCTCGCTATATTATGTCCGAAGAAGCAATGTGGTATTTATTTGCAATGCATTTGTTGATGACTTCTTTTTATTCTCCACATCATTATCAATTCCTGTATTCAAACTATACCTTTTAGGTATGCTATACACTATTTTTCTGTCATTCTATCTTATTAGAGATGATTGTGAAGTCTTGAATATCATATATATGCATGTAGTCTATCTTCAGCATGATGGTTACTCGAATTCGTATAGTAGAGAGTTGGCCTTATTCTTTTGTTGAATAAGGAAAACATATAGCTAAGAGTCCTATACCATCTTTTTTATCCTCATGTTTTCTTTCTTATTCTTGATCTTCTAACTGTTGTATAGAGGCATGTGCAATACTAGTTTACACCAGTATTCTCAAACAAAAACCTTTGTTGGTATTTCCTGAAATGTAACCATAGGATTTGTTTCAACATAATGATTTATTTAAAAAATTATTCAAAGCGAAATTGTCAATCAGATTCCTAAATCTAATTTGAAATATATTTATTAATACCGAAGAACCATCATATTTTCATTTTTGTGATTAACATTAAATGTCAGTTAAGTTTTCATGATAGGTTCACATATCAGTGACTAGCTGACACTTCTCATTGCTTTTATCACTTGCTGTGTCATGTGTATTTGTATGTTGGCATATTCAGGCAAATATCCATTCATAGCTACACTATCAGCATTGTGTGTTTACCTTTGAGGTCTCCATTTCAACTGATGGTTGTAATTAATTGTTTCAACATTTTAGTGGTGTTAGGTTGAGTTTTAGCTTCTTGATTTGGACATTAATAAGGAAAAACAAGAATGAAAAATCAGAAAATATTAACCTTAGTAAAAGGGAAGAAAATGATCTCGTGCTCAGCAGTTAGAAATTTTCATAGTCCAAATATGATCAAAGTATATCTAATTATTTTATCAAGTTTAAGAATTAAAGTATTTAAGTTTGTGATGACCATTTATGAGAAATTCTTTGGGTAATAAAAAGCATTACATTGTCACTTTACTGCCTAGAACTAAGAAAGAAATTTGAAGAATTTTATTTGGTATTCAATGTTTTACTTCGATAAAATCAAGCCTCTGACATTTCTTGGAGAAACAAAGGGTTTCTTGAGGGGTAAGCTCCCCTCATTTCAATTGAACTTTGATGGTAATCAGGTTTCTTAAGAGGGTAGGAGATCTTGAGTGAATGTTCCATGGGACTTCCAAGTTCCAATAGCCAGTCAATTGTTGTAAATGTATGACAAATATCATTATTGTATTAAAGCAACTTATAATTGTATAATATACATGCATAATTTTATATTCAATATACTTATGCATAAATATGTATGCTTACATATATGTCTATGTATGAGTGTCTTTGCGCATGGTGGTTTGGCTGACCATATGCCTAGGTGCTATCTAAAGTGCCCAGGCAATTGCTTGAGACAATAATACATGAAGGATATAGTAATTGAGATATTCAATTTAGACTCAATTGAACTGTCTGAAAACGAGTTGAGTTTTGTCACGAAACACCATAGCTGGATGATGCAAATTTTATTTTCTGATCTGGTGAAAACTGATCCCTGAAAAATGTGTAATTTGCAAATATGTTTAAAAGATTCTAGAAATTATCATAAGAAGTTGATCTTAAGTAAATTGAGAAAAGCAATTGTTATGTATGCTACCGTTGGTGTGAGATTCTGATCTTAGTGTTTCCATCTCACTGATTTCTTGTTTATTTGCAGTACTTCCGGTAACTATCTGGCGTCATCGCGTGCAAGTTTTCTTGCCCAGGTGTCTTCATCTGCTCTATTTAATGATGGACCACGCCTAAATAATAGGCGTAATAAGACAGCACGACTTGTTGTTAGAGCTGATGCCGTAAGTTCTTTTGTTGACAAGAAAGATTTTGTTTTATTCATTTCTCTTGTTCGATGAAGATTGAAATATTTTATTATGGATTGGCAAGTTCTTCTGTCGATGCAAATTTGTCTGATATTTTTCTTTCTTGTGGGATCATCTTTTGCAGGATTATTATTCTGTACTTGGTGTGTCAAGAAATGCAAGTAAATCTGAAATAAAAAGTGGTAAGTTGTTTGCTCTTATTGTAGTTCTCGTCCTCTTGCTTTTGCATTTATAGGCCCCAGTGGGACTGCCACATTGTGACCAACAAGCATTTACAGTGGCATAATATGTATTCTCTGTTCTGGCTCGTACTGTTAAAGTTGTAGGACAGCAGCAACTATGCTTACAAACTATACTGTTTTGGATTTTTTTACTATTCTTTTTCTTTAACAAATACTTTGCTGGCTCAGAATTTAAAAGGTGGCCTGTATGTTAGGGCCCCACCTTTCAATAACAAGATGGAATCATGGAAATTAGGTTCGCTTCTGTTTCCATGGGTGTCCTCAAGTTACAAAATCAACATTTCTGCAGAATTTTACTTTCATGCTGTCAGCCCGAATTATATATGTATATATATATATATATATATGTATATATATATATATATACATATATATGTATATGTATATATGTATATATGTATAGATATATATGTATATATGTATGTATATGTATATATATACATACAGATATACATATATATACATATATATACATACATATATACATATATACACATATATATATATACTCCCTTTTCTTTTTTAACTAGATTGAGGGGTCTAGTAATCAGAAATAGAATTAGGCATTATCAGACAAATCCACTAGCTCTAGTAATAGTATAAACCAAGGTTCGTAATACCGTACCATACCGGTATTTCGACCTGGGCTCGGTACCGGTACGGTATACCGAGCGGTACACCCAAGTGTACCGAGTACTGTAGCACTGCTACAGTGTTACAGTGCACTCGGACCGGTAACAGACGGTCTGCGTACCGGAAACCGGTCGGACCGGTACGTACCGCCCGTATCGGGCGGTACAGTCGGTACTGCAGACCCTGGTATAAACAGACAAGCAACAAGTTTGAGGTTGTTGTTCTGAGAAAAAAAACAGCAAGAACTTAGATTACCAAAACTGATTGGACTGGTTTCCAGATCCAACAAGAGGCAAGAACAGGATAAAGGTTGATAAAAGATCAGTAAACAAAATGGAGCATCACTGCAGTATAACACTCGCTGTTCCCTTGCTCTCTTCATTTGCTTTTTTTTTTCCGGTCTTTCTTAACAGACATAAAAAAGTCACCTTTCCTGATCCCTGACTGTGGCTCCTATCTTTTATGTTTGATTCCTTTGGTTCAAAGTTCAAAGAGTCAGCAGTATCTCAATCTTACCTTTAATGGATTTGTTCTTACACTTGCATCTGTATTTAAGCTACATGTTATAGTGTATATTGACATCTTTTTCTTGTGCAGCTTACAGGAAGCTTGCAA